CCAAGCCCGTGCTGTGGGCCAGGTGCTGTACTAGTCACCCACGGCGCTGGGGTAGGTGAGTGACTCTTGCCTTGACGAGGGAGCCTGTGACAGCAGAGGCAGCAGGAGCTGAGGGGCCATCAGCCTCACACAGCCATGTTTTCTGGGGCCTGGTCAGGGTCCCCAGTGGGTGCTTGAGCACTGTGGTTCCATTTCATTCAATGGCCAGTTCTCATGGAATGGGTCCCGGACTCTGGAGATGTATCACCTCCATGGTCCAGAGGTAGCAGCTCCTCTCCACTGCTCAGAATGGGAGGGACTAGCTGATGTTGGGACACAGTTCTCCTGTTTCTGACAAATGTGAATGGCTGGTGTGGCCTGCATAGTGACACACCTTGGGTGTCTCCTCTGTGCCCAGTCTTCCCAGTAAATGCCCCTCCTACTCCCTCTCTCTGCCTCGTGTCCTGGCTATATTGGAGCTGCCGAGACTTCTGACTGGACACAGATCTAAGCTTGCCAATGGGAACAGAGCCCATCCTGCTCCCAGAACTGTCTGAGGCTCTCCACCTATGTCCTATCATGCCATTCCTTGTCCTTTTGTCCCATGGGGGGCTTTGTAATAAGTGACTTAACTTCAGGGAAACAAAATTGTCTTAAGGTCTTGGGAAAGAGATGTCACATCAGAGAATTCACAAAGAGAGGCCAGGCTATAAAGAAAGTTGTTCTGGACTGAAGTGACACGAACATGAAGAAACTTTCCTTCCCCCTCTTGGGTCTGCTCTCTCCCATGCTTCTCACAAACAACTGGTAAACTCTGTTGGTTCTTCTTAGCATAATCTAATGTGTTGGAGATGGTGATTCTTGATATAGTCACTGTGTTCTCAGGGGATTGGTTGGGCATTTAATCAGAAGACCTTTTCATAAACTGGGCTGGAGAAATGGAGGTATCCTTTAGGACATTTGGGGGAGAACTAAGCAAGGCCGGGGCAGATAGGACCAGGAATGTGCCTCTAATCAAGAGGGAACTGGATTCTTAGGAACTGAACAGCAGGCATGAGCTCTCCAAGGCCATGTATCTGTGTTCCCTTCCAGCCCTTAGATGGCCCCACTCCACTGTCTGTAGGCCCTGATGGCTCCACAGCATACGTGCTGTGTGGGGACCAGTTCTCCTGCTGATGTAGGGACACTGCTACAGTTTAATCATTTCCCCTAAAATATGGCCCTTCAGGAGGCTGCTCATCAATGGGAATCTGGAAGGCAGCCTCCCTAGGGATGGGTAGCCTCACTACAGCCTTCCCTGGACTGTGTCTGTCTCTAGGATGAAAGGGGCCAGACCAGCAGGAGGTGGCTCCTGCCCCAGGGGAGGAATGAAGTTGGGACTAGGCCCAAAGTTCCTTGAAATCACTGCTTCAGGGAGTATGGACTAGAGAGAGTCTGGAGGGCCCTGGACGGTTCATGGGGAGCTCTGCTTTGACCCCCTCTCTTCTACACTAGTAATGGACTTTCTTATCCTATTAATCCTCTCCTCCCAGGGCCAGTGAAAGTCACTCTCATTCTCTACATCAGTGGTTTCCAAACCTTAGAGTGCATCAGGATTAGAGAGCCTTAAAACATACACTGCTGGGCCCCACCCTGGTTTCTGATGCAGTAGCTCTTGGGTGGATCCCAAGAATTTGCATTTCTCACTCATCCCCAGGTGATGCTCTGGCCCAGGGATGCACCTTAAGAACCTCTGCTCTCTAGTGTCCTGTGGCCCCTTAGCAGGTCCTACAAAGTCAGAGCCCTTCTTCTCTCCTCAGCTCTGACTTTAGGCCTCAGGGGTGCACCCTCACATCAGGCTTTTCATGTCTTCGGAACTTGGCACATGGAGGCCCCTGTACCTGGCTTACTTTCCAGGTCTGCCTGCCTGCTCTTCATACTGAAGAACTTCCTTTGGCCTAGTTTCACTGAATCTTAGCCTTCAGCCATGTGATACTCACCTTGTAGGCAGGGTGACTGGCTTTCATCCATAAGTGACCTGGGTCGGGCTGGGGCAGAATTAGAAACATCTAGGGAAGCATTGCCTGCTTCCCCAGGGCTCTCCTCTTTTGACCTTGGCAATGTGTTCGAGGGCTCCCAGAATCACACCTGCCATCTGACTTAGGGTGGAGAATTGCCAAAGCAAGTTACCCACCTCCCTCAACTCTAAACTCCTGCCTGCACCTGTCCCAACTGCTCTCAGACAGCCTCCAACACCGTAAAGGAAGCATGCCAACAGCTCATGAGCCCGGGAGACCCGCCTGGGCAGGGCCACACCTCAGTCATCCACCTTTCCCCCGTTTCTGGCACAGGGCCTGGCACACCATGGGCACTCAGCAAGGATTTGCTGAATTACATTGAACGTAGCTACAAACACAGAATCCCATCTGTTCACTAATGGCATCCAGGGAATGTTTGATTGCTTTCTGGGGTGCTGGTGGAGGTACTTCTTGTGTCTCTTTGTGTTGTCTTGGGGTAGAGTCAAGTTTGACTTCTAATCTATAGCCCTTGTAAAGCCAACTCTCCTTTGTAGTTGGCATCATAAAGAAAACTCGAACAAGATCTATAAAGTAGGTACAGAATAAATATATAAAATAAAATAAAGGCAGGGAAATGAAGGTACTGGAGTAGACTTCAAGACTTTCAGTGTTCATTTCCTTTGCCTACAGCTGGGCAGCGGAAAGTGATTACATAAAAATTGTGCCAAGGGCTTTGGCTTGTTAGCCTTGATAAAAGTCTGATGCAGATAGAGGATCCTGTACCATCCGTAGCCCTCCAGAGTATTTTGCAGGGGCTTGGAGGATCCCCCAAAGGCCTGAGAATGATCTTACCTGAAAATCATCTACTTTTCACTTGTAAATTCTTTCAAAGAATTAAACTCACTCCCTCACTTTTTTTGTAAAACTGATTTGGTTAATTTCAATGAGAGGATGGTTAAGAAAAAGTCCTCTTTTCCTCTTGCTAATATTGAATCATAGAGCCATAAAGACTGCTAATTTTGAAATGTGCTGGGTAGGGCTTTCTACTGATTATGTTGCTATTGATTCAAACAGTCAGAAGTCTTCAGGATCATTTTTAGAGCAATGGCATGAACGGGGCTGAAATGGAAATCAGTCAGATAATGAACACCCCCGCTTAGAAATCATTATGGGCTGAGTTGTGCTGGGAAGGCTCTGGGTCTGGGAGTTGCCCCTGAGCTCAAGCCGGTTGGCGCTCAGTGGTCACAGTTCCTATAGCCAGGGCTTGGCATTCTGCATGACTGCTTGCCTGTGTTCAAGTCAATTTGACCAGAACCAGGTGTTTTTTGTTGTCATTTTCTTGCTGGGACATGGACATTTAAAAGAGCCTAACTAAGGACTATGGAGTTGTTGTTCACTTTGGAGGCAAAGACCCCTGGGTAGTTGAAGGAAGGGTCTAAGATAGCAATCTACTTTCCCTTGGTAAATGGGAAGGCTGCTTTCCTTGAACGTATGGTAGAGGTGTTTATACTATGACCTACAGGCCAAATCTGGCAGGCTGCTGGATTTTGTATGGCCCATGGGCTCAGAAGAGTTTTTTAATTTTTTAAACGGTCAAAAAGTAAAAATCAAAAAGTAATAAAATTTCATGACATATGAAAATACACGAATTCAATTTGCTTTTTTAGTATTCATAAATAATTTTTTTTGGAACATAGCCGTATCCATTCATTTATGTGTTGTCTGTGGTTTGTTTCATGCTACAGTGGCAGATTTGAATACTTGCAGTAGAGACCATATGGCCTGCAAAGCCCCAAATATTTACTGTCTGGCTCTTTATAGATAAAGTTTGCTGACATCTGCTGTATGTACAGGCCTGGAGGACATTGCTTCCCACCAGGAGCCCTCTCCCTAGAGGGTCTGAGTCCACAAGGTACAGCTCTTGCTACCTGCAGAGATGTGTGGTCTAAACCCTGCTTGATAGGATGATTGAGAACATTCAAGAAAGTGGTAATGAAATAAGATCCCGCTCAAATTACATTTTTGTTATCTACATAAGTTTGGGCCTTGGTCAGATTTAAAGCATTTGATTAACTTACTAGAATATACTTTTGGTATTCTTTAAGACAGGTGACCAACTAGTTGATTGCTTTACTCCATTGGGCAGCTCATTCTATACTGGCCTTTTCCATTTCAACCTTGTCTTCCTCTTCCTCCCTGTCACCCGAATCACTTGAGAGGTTTCAGCCTATCTCTTTTCCAGCTCCAGAGAGCAGAATCTGGTCATCTTCTTGGCAAGATAAGCAATGGTCTGGCCTTTGGCCAACCTGGTCAGCTGTTCCTCTGGGGTATGAGCCTGCATCTGCTGCTTCTGATGTCTGGATGAGAGGCCACACGGTGTCTGGGCCATCTGGGAGTTCTGGTTCCCAGATACCAGCATATGGAACCTGGAAAATGCTGGGCTGATTAATGACCTTTTTCACTCATCATTAGAATATCTGGTGGAGGGCAACTTACATTACTCGCCACTCACCTGAATAGTCCCTGAAGCTTCTACTTTTATATAACCACTCCTTCTTGTTGAGTAGGGTGTTGGGGACATGATAAATGCCCATTGACCCAGCAATATTATTATGCTTCGTTTTTGGAGCTGACATGCAGTCTGACTTCGCACAACAGGAGTTGATGGAGAGGGTCCTGACTTGTTTCCATTATTTCTGTACATCAATCTAGTCACAAATGATTCAACCCTGTGTCCTTAGCCAAGTGCCACTTTTATCTGATCCCCCAATACCCTCCCCAAATTATGCTCCAAATAGGCCACTCAACCATGAGTAAGTGATGCAGCCATTGGAGATAGCCAGAGGGCATGAGGAACCCCTTCCCACCCCAACCAAACCAAAAGGACTCTTGCAAGGTGCTCTCATGAAAACCAGACCTATAATTTTAAATGGAAATTCAGTTGAAAAAGAACTGGTTGTGATGAGCACTGGGTGTTGTATGTAAGTGATGAATCACTGAATTCTCCTGAAACTAATATTACACTATATGTTAATTTACTAGAATTTAAAAACTTGAAACATTAAAAAATAAATTTCTTACAAATAACAAAAAAAATGGGTTTTGAACCATAAATTTGGTTTTACTGCCATAATTTTGGGAGAATTGTTAGCTCCTAAGTGCCCAACTGGAGAATCTTTTTTTATTTAACGAAGGGAGTGGTGGGACTAAGCAGTGTTAGAGATTTTCTCCTTGTAGATGTGCAGACACAGCCTGATAGAAAAAGGGCATTTTGGTTGGGAGAATTCACAGAAGTGACTGTTTCCATTCAATGAATATAAAATCCCGAACTTATGCCTGCATTTTTCCCTAAGGGAAAAATTAGGGCACTGATTCAGTTTGATTGTGTGCCTCTTCCTCCTGTGACTTCTCTCCCAGCTCTGGGTCTGTTTCATAGAATTTTTATGCCTGTTGGGTCCCCCTCTGCAACGATTATATTCTTGGAGGGGAAGCGCTCCTCTTCCTCAGCTTTAGCATTTTGTAGGGCTGCTGGTTGAGTGCTTAGCACATAGTAGGTCCTCAGAAATGCCCGTGAGCTGTATAAATATGAATATAAGTAGAAGTGGGGTGGGTGGGCACTGGACCAAGAGTAGAAGGTGGGGAGTCTGGTCTTGTCTCTAGCTCTAAATGACTCTGAGCAAGGTGCTGAAGCTCCGAACCTCAGTTTACTCAAAATATGCCTGGGACAGTAGATGTCCCAACTCCCTGACCGAATTATGGTGAGGCTCAAAGGAGGGAAACAGATATGCAAAAACCACTATCAGTGGTGGGAAAAGCTGCATCAGGTAGTTTGCTTGAATCAGAAGGTTGCAGGGGCTGCTCATGGATGGAGGTCAAACTAGAGGACATTGATGGTGGACCCCCTTAAGCTCTGTTTTGGTGACATGGTGAGTAGAATGAATAGATTCTCAACTTTCTTTTGAACCTGAATGCCACTGTGACTAGGGGCCAGCTCTGTGCCTCTGCCAGTACGGGCTGGGGGAGGGCGGGAGGACAGGGACAGATTGTACAGACAGAGGACAAAGCCAGAGACATTCAAAACAAAGACGGTCTCAGAGCCTTGTGGAAGTCCTAGAATGGCCCTGTTTTTGCCTGCTATTCTCTTGGTCACAAAAGAGCACAGACAAGTTACCATAGCAACAGTTCTCACGAGGTGTGCATGTTAGGATGGAGTTGGAAAAGATTTTCTTATTAAAACAAGAAGAAATTAGGTTTTCAGATATATTTGCCCTCCACCCAAAGCGTTGCTCCTTTTATGAGAATAAAGCAGCAGCTGTTCCTATCACAGATATGCTCCTCATTCCTAGCATTCGAATCTTCAAACTTTCATTTTAGATTCGGCACAGTTCATGATAGTCCTAACACATCTGAGAGGGATGCATTTTCTCAAGAGGTAAAACAGTGTGAAACTGGTGATGAGGGACCCTAAGACTAGATGCTGAAAGCCTTGTCAACCTCTGGCTGGGGAGACCCCACCACCCCCATCCCCCAGATCTGTGCCCGCCATGATGCCCAGCTGCTCATCCTATCCTCCCTTCCTTCTGGTCCCTGGCTGCAGGCTTGTCACGCTGTTGCCTGGGGCGGTGCCTCTGTGGAGTGCTTCCTGGTTCCTCTGCTGTGTGGTGGCAGCCAAGGCAGGCTGACAGCTTTGGCTGGGGACCAGACTCTGCTGTGGCCAAGGACCTCTTGGTTTTGGACTTTTCATCTAAGCTTGTGTGGCGTCAGAAAGGACAAAGGGAAAGGCTCTCCAAACTGGGGAGAGTGTATGAGTGCATGTGCATGCGTGTGTGTGAACCTTTCCCTATACATTAATTCTGCCTCAACAAGGACTTTCCTTTAAGAATGGAGATCTCTTGTGTGTGAAGTCTGACCACCTTGCCCATGTGAAGCCACCTGAAGAGTCAGGGAAGGAGAACCTGCTGGTCTGTGTGGAAGAGGAGACGGGGGCAGGTGCACGCACAGTGAGCTGGAACCCAAGGGCCCTGGGCACAGGGAGTCCGGGGAAGGTGAGTGACATAAAGGCTGACTTTCTCCCCTGCACAGGCAGAACTCTGCAGACTGGCTGACAGGATGCTGGGTGAGCCCAAGGCAGACGTGGGGGGCTATAGGACAAAGTCCCCCTGGAAGTCCCCACTAATGACGACCCTGGGAGTCTTGGACCCTCCCCAGGGCTGGGACACAGGGAGTGCCCAAGGCATAAAGGGTGGCTTCCAGGAGGCTGGAGGAGGCCTGCCCAGACCTGTCATAGGAATCAGAGGCGACATGTGATAGACTTGGGTGTACATCGGGTGGGGCTTACAAAAGGGACACGTGAGTGAGCGCAGGCAGCGGGCTGCTAGTAGGGCAGGGCCGAGTCGTCCCACTCCAGCTGGGTGTGCCTGGCTCCGCTCTGCCCGTGTCTGCCCTTGCCCATCCCTTCCTCCTCCTCTTCCTCTTCGCTGTCCTCTGACTCACTGCTGCTGGAGCTCACGTCTTCCTCTACTTCTTCCTCCTCCTCAGTTTCCTCTTCTCCACGCCCTGGTTCTTCATGTTTCTGGATGTCGGGGAGAGAAGGGACATGCTCATCAGGGGCTGAGCAAAAACCACTCTGGAACTTACATGTTTCTTCCTCCACTAAGGGAACATTTTGGGCCCCTTGAACGCCTTTCCCTTCCCGCTAAACCCATGGCCCTGGGGACAGGCCTCCTGGACAGGAGGTCCTCTGGTGAAAGGCAAATCCGAGGGCTAAGGACCAAGAAGAAATAGTGAATTTCCAGACCTGGACTCAAGGTACATTGTGGGTTTTAAACCTAAGACATCGGAGCCAGTCCCTTTCTTCTTTGGAAACCTTTCAGGCCAGGGTTTACTTTCTGGCATTTCTGGAGCCTGTCTGTATGGAGCTTTCCACGTCTTCAGTGTTAGCTCGAATGCTATTCTCTCACTGAGAAGCATACAGCCCGGTCCCAGGTGACATCATAGTCTCTGGGAGCAGAAGGTCTTCTAAGCCAAGACTCAGGTGTGCTGCTTCTCAGAAATATTCCTTCGGGAAGGAAAGTTCATGGTCCTCATTTTCTATGCCTCCCCTCACTGGCTGAGGCTTGTGTCTTCAAACTCAACCCCACTCTTTTCCAGTTCCATTCCTGCCCCATCCCCTGCCAGCTTTTTGGTGATTCTAGCAAAATCTTAGTTCTGGATTTATGTCTTGAGTTGATGAAACAGCCATAAAAGATGTATGCCCTTGCATGGTTGCATCCCCTCCCTGGAGCGGCTTCTTTTCTATCTTGCCTGCCACCCCTCCCTTCCATCCTAACCCATTCTTCAAGGCCTCCCTTAGGCTAACCTCCTCTAGGAAATCATTCTTGAACACTCCGGCCTCGATGGCTCTCCCTACTCCTGCTTCACTGACCATTGGCATCAGCACGTTAGCCCTCGGTAAGAACACTTGTGCCCAGTACTCAGACTGCTCCGGGCATGGGGGCTTGTTTCCCACAGCCGAGGCTCAGCTCTCTGAGGGTGGAAATGCTGGTGTCCCCACAGTGGAGCGCTTAGCACCATACCTACACCCTATGCTAGGAGAAGCTGAGCTACCTTGGCACGCTGGCTAGGATATCAGGGGGACCATGCTGGGAGAATCTTCATTCCTCAGTGACTCCTGATTTTCCTCTGCTTTTCTACTCCTGCCTCTACCACCACCAAGGAAACCATGGGCAGCCCAAAGGGCACTTGTAGAACTTTGATATTCGTCTGTCTAGAGCTGGGGCCTTAGACTCTCATGGGTGGATGCTGGAGGTTGCTGGCTAACTGAAATGAGATGACTTTAGGATCCAGCAACCTTGACTTGAATATTGGAGAAGTTTGAGCACTTTGACTTTCTTCTCGGAGTTGGTTCCCACCTTGAGAAGTAAGGATGAGAACCTCTATTTCACAGGGGGTTGGGAAGATTAAATGGGGTGGTGTACAAAGAGCACCCTGTGCAGTGTCTGACATGATGGGGGCTCAGTGAATGGCAGGTATTGCTGTTGTGCTTTTGTTTTAACCTGTTCTGAGCCTTTAACGGTGTAAATTAGATTGCAGGCAGCATGGAGCAAAGCCGAGCTCACTTAATCTTTGTTAGCTCTGCATTAAATACTATGGGGGAGGCAAGGGATAGACACCACATGGCTGCTTGCCTTAAGAAATGTCTGGTTCTGTTTGTAGGGTGAGAGCAATTCACATTTTTAATCAGTGAATGCAGCTGGTGGGAAAGTATGGTCCATGCAGGTTGAGGGGGCTGAAGGTGCTCAGAGAAGGCAAGGGTCAGTGGGGCTGGGCTTCCAGCACAGGGAAGATGGAGCTAGGGGAGGGGAAGCATACTGCCCCAAGATCCCAGCTCCTGCATGAGGATCACCTCCATGGGGTTGACTGTGATAGTGAGCGCAGAGTCGTCCCAATCCATCTCAGCCTCCTTGGCAGCCTCTGTCTCCTGGGTGAAGTGCTGGTGGGCTATCCGGATCCGGTACATGCCCATGGCCACGACAAATACCAGCATGCACACGGAGATGATGATGACCACTGTGGCGATGCTTGGGACCACTGGAACAAGGAAGGAATCTACATGACGTGGCGAACAGAAGGACTAGCTCAGTCTTGGGATGGAGTGTGAATGAAACATCCATGTGTAGGTTACAATCTGCCCTACCACTTCTCAGCTGTAGAACTCTGGGCCAGCACCTCACCCTGTCTGGGCTTCATTTTCTTCATCTCTATAATGGGTACTTGTGAGGAATAAATCAAAATGTGAATGGATGTTCTCTTCTATCTTTTGCTTTCCCCTCTAATTCTGGGGCAGCTTCCACTGAGAGCCAGGCACTAGAATTTCATAGGGACAGACACGGCATCCACCAGACAGTAATACAAATGGCAAGACTAGAATTGAAGTAAGGGTGGGAGACTGCAATATGGTGTGCACGTGTGCATGTGTGAGAGCAGGAGGGCACATTTGAAGGGGCTCAGCGAAAGCTTCGCACAGGATGTGGCTCTGAGTTAGGCCTCAAAGGACTTGGAAGATGTTACCCTAGCACTCTGTACTAACCTCTGTTATATTGTAACTTCTTTCCCTACCTAGCCCCTGACTGAGGCTGCGAGTACCTCAGAGGTGGGGCCCACAGCTTTCCCATTCCTGGGTCCCTCCTCCAGTTCTGGGCACCTGTGGCTGCCGTACCATACCTGTTAGTGGATGGTCTTGAATCACAGTGACCGCCTGATAGCCTAAGGTCCTTCCTCCCAGGCCACCTACCTGAACTGCGCTGGATGCTACCCTGGGACTCAGGGTGGTGGACAGACTGCAGGAAGGGAGGCTGCACAATAAGGTGGTTGACATGCTCCTTGTCTGAGACTCTGGCCTCATGGAGGACGCTGACCTAGGAAGAGCAGGGAGAGGTGCTGCTGACCAGGGTGGCAGGTGGACCCAAATGAATGAGGAACGAGTGGGTAACTCTGAAATTCCGTAATGATGGAAGGACCCACTCACCTCCAGGTTGAACTCATTGCTGCTATAACGTCCATTGAGTTCTGAGCACTTGATTCTGAACCGCCGGGTCTCGAGGGAACCTGGATGCCAGTTGCGGTAGCGGATGTGATGCAGCACCTGCTCATAGCGACTCATGGAGCCCACACCTGGCACAAGAAGGTAGAAGATGGGGGATACAGGATGTGGCTTCTGGGACTTGTGGTTCTCCTGAATTTGTCCAGGGTAAGAGCTTGAGATGTTTAGGGGAAGACAATGCATGGATACAGGAATTCTAAGGAGCCAATTGAACTGACCCAAAGGATTTCCAGATACATTGGACTCTGAACAGAATGGCCTCAGCCTGTCAAATGCTGTATTTGCTGAGGTCAAATATTATAAGAAAGCATCCACCTACTTTCTGCAGAAGAGGTCCTCAAGATGCTGAAGTAGCTCACTGACAGAGGGGCTAGAAGTCCATGCTCTGAGGTCAAAGGTCCCTACCTGACTCCACAGGTGACAGAGCACCATCACACTCATGACTCCAGCCTGAGAGTGATGAGAGCACGGTTAAGGGGCTGAGTGTGGTCTTACCATAGATAGAGTAGCCTGCTGTGGAATTGGTGGCATCCAGGTGTCGCTGATGGAGCTCGCTGTGGTTGAGCTCCAAGCATTCCTGTCTTGGGTCCAGGTCCCCTCCAATCACCAAAATGTCACAGAAATCTAAGTTGTGAAGCATTTCTTCTAAGACTGCTGATTTGGGGGCTGAGGGAAGACAGACATGGAAAACACAGGCATGAGGACAACCCAGCAGGTTTGCATGTCTTCTTCCTCCTCTGTGACTGCATGCCAGGGTCAGGCTGGGTCAGGAGAAGAGGCTGTGCCATCCCAACCACCACCTCCATGGCTCAGACGAATGCCCAGGCATGCCCTGAGGTTGGGTGGCATGGATTTGTGTGAAGAGCATGAATAGTCAAAAGATGTGAATTTGAATACCAGCTACTAAGACACTTACAGTGTAGAGAACTATCTACCTCTCAGTTTCCTCATCTGTAAAGAGGGCGACGGTCTTGAGAGGAATGAAGACAGTGTCTGGCACCTAGTAGGTGCTCAATAAGCGATAGTTCTCATTTGGGGCCAGATGTAAGTGCCCTTCTACCATGCTGTCCTAGTTTTCCCCATGTGATCATGGTGTGTATATCTGTCACCCCGGCAGACCCTGAGTTTTTCCAGGGCAGTAACACTGTGTTTTTTTTTTATTATGACCAACTCCTCAGTGTCTAACCCAGGGGCTCATATGGAGCATATTATTATATTTATAATTATTATAAACAATTATGGAGCATAATAATATAATAAAATGATTAAGTAAACTGGTTAGTTGGCAATCTTTTGGTCAGCCTAGCAATCCTGGCCTGATTTTGTGACCCCAAATTTTCCAGAGGGACGTCTGAGTATTCGAATGCTGGACACGTTGGCAGTCCTAACTTAAAAGTATTGGGACTTCTGGGGAAGATGGCAGAGTAGGAGGACCCTAGTTTACCTTATCCCACTGATATACCTAGATAATACCACATCGGTGTAAATCGGAAAACAACCTGAAGACTGGCAGAACCAACTCCACAACTAAATGTAGGGAAGAGGCCACATGAAAGAGGGTAGGAAGGGCAGAGACATAGTCCGGAGCTAAATGGGTCTGCAGGAAGGAGGAATGCCACAGACATAGAAAGGGGAAACACACAGGCGACCAAACACCCCAGGCACAGGGAAGACGAATACCTATAATATTTGGCTTTGAAAACCAGCTGGGCATAATTTCATGATTTGTTACAAGCAGAAGTGCTTAACACCTGGAACATTAAAAATCCGTGGGCTTGGCTCTGGGAGAGGCAGGAGGTGAGAGGAAACTCAGTCCTTGCCCTTATAGACAGCACAACAAACAGCCTGTGGAGATACAACATAGAAGCAGCAGTTTGAAAAATGCCTGGGGTATATGGGCGAGCATGTGCTGAAAGTTCCAGGAACAAAGGGGCATGTGGCACCATTTCCCTCCCCTGCTCCTCAGCTGAGACACCTAGACACCCGAGGGAACCAGCAGTGCCAACATGTGCTATCTAACTTGCTAACAGTGAAATGATCCCCAGGTTCCCCTGCAGACATGCCCCCTCCAGCCCGGCCTGCACTCCGTGTTCCCTCCTATAGCACACCTGCCCACACCTTCCTAAAACCAAGTGCCCTGCACCAGGTTCTCCTGCTGATCAGCCCCCTCCAATGACCTTGGCCAGAGCCCAGCCAAAGTGGTGCCACAAACCTGGCACTGTGCAAGCTGCCCTGAAAGGGACCAGCACCAATCCAAAGTGATTCCTGCCCTGGGGAGAGGGGAAGAGAACCATGCATACCAAACTGGCCCCAGCAGTAAGCTGGGGGCAGACATCTGGTCTGACTACAGGTCCCACCCACCAATAAAATCTTAAGGAACAACACAGGGAAAGTACCCTGCAGTTCGATGTTAACTGCATTTCTGGCAAATGCCTGATCTGACTCAGCTCAAGCTCAAGGCAGGCCCAGACTGGCTACCACCACAGAGACCAAATCCTGCTCACAATAGGCCAAGAAAGCCATTGCAGGCCACTGGACTGAAGGCAAAAGCAGCTCATCCACAGCAGTAGGTCATAAAAAACACACACATGGGAGATACTCCTGAAGTACTGATCCTGGTGAATGGGGACACTGCAGGGCACTACAGGACATCTTCATTAGGCCACTACTTTCAAGAGCAAGAGACCTTGCTGACTTTCCCAACACACAGAAACACACAGAGGGTTAGACAAAATGAGGGGAGAGGAATATGTCCCAAATGAAAGAACAGAACAAAATCACAGCAAGAGACCTAAACAAAAATGAAGAATAATATCCCTGATAAAGAATTTAAAATAATGGTCATAAAGATACTCCATGGACTGGTGAAAAGAGTGGAGGACCTCAGTGAGACCTTCAACAGACAAAAAACCAACCAATTAGAAATAAAGAACTCAATAAATGAAATTAAAAATACACTAGAGGGAATACGTGGACTAGAGGAAGCAGATCAGCGACCTGGAGGGCAGAGTAATGGAAAGCAATCAACCTGAACAGAGGGGAAGAAAAAAAAAACAGAGACTTAAGGAACTCAGTGTCACCATCAAACATAATAACATTTGCATTATAGAGAGCCAGAAAGTGGAGAAAAAGGGGGCAGAAAATTTACTTGAAGAAATTACAACTGAAAATTCCCTATATCTGGGGAAGGAAACAAATCCAGATCCAGGAAGCACAGAGGGACCCCAACAAAACCCAAGGAGGTCCACACCAAGACACATAATAATAAAATGGCAAAGAATAGTCATAGAGAATTTATTAAGATTTTATTTATTTATTTGAGAGAGAGAGTGAGTGAGCGAGCACATAAGCAGGGAAAGTAGCAGGCAGAGGGAGAGGGAGAAGTAGGCTTCCCGCTGAGCAAGGAGCCCGATGTGGGGCTTGATCCCAGGACCCTGGGATCATGACCTGAGCTGAAGGCAGACACTTAACCAGCTGAGCCACCCAGGTGCCCCTATTACTATTTTTTAGAGAGAGCAAGTGAGCACCAGGGGAAGGGCAGAGGGAGAGAGAATTTTAAGCAGGTTCCATGCTCAATGTAGAGCCCGACATAGGCTTGATCTCACTATCCTGAGATCAGTACCTGAGCCAAAACCAAGAATCAGGCACTTAACTGACTGAGCCATCCAGGCACCACAAAGAGAGAATCTTAAAAACAGCAAGAGAAAAGAAAGCAGTTACATATGAGGAAAACCCATAAGGCTATCAGCTAATTTTTTAGTAGAAAGGTTGCAGGCCAGAAGGGAGTGGCATGATATATTCAGAGTGCTGAAAGGAAAAAATCTGCAGCCAAGAGTACTCTAACCAGCAAGGCTATCATTCAGAGTAGAAGGAGAGGTAAAGAGTTTCCCAGAAAAACAAAAGTTAAAGGAATTTATGACAACTAAATCAGCTCTACAAGAAATGTTAAAGGCGATTTGCTGAGTGGAAAGAAAAGATCATAAGGAGTAAAAAAAGTAAGCACAAAAGCAGTAAAAATAAAGTATATCTATAAAAATCAGTCAAGGGACTCACAAAATAAAAGGATATAAAGTATGACACCATGTACCTAAAATGTGGGGGTGGGAGGGAGGAGTAAAGAACGTGTTCAAATTTAAGTGACCAACAACTTAATATAGACTGCTACATGCAGAAGATGTTATTCACAAACCTAATGATAACCACAAATCAAGAACCAGAATAGATATGCAAAACATAAAGAGAAAGGAATCCAAGTAGATCACTATAGAAAGCCAACAAACCATGTGAGAAGAGAGCAAGAGAAGAAACGAACAAAGAACTACAAAAACAACCATAAAGCAAGGAACAAAATGGCAAAAAGTACATACCCATCAATAATTACTTTAAATGTTAAAGGACTAAATGCTCCAATAAAAAGACACAGCGTGATGAAATGGATAAAAAACCAAAACCTATCTCTATAATGCCTACAAGAGACTCATTTTAGACCTAAAAACACATGCAGATTGAGTGAAGGGATGAAGAAGCATGTATCATGCAAATGAAAGTGAAAAGCAAGCCAGAATAGCAATAGTTCTGACAAAATAGACTTTAAAACAAAGACTGTAACAAGAGACAAAGGACATTCTCATAATCATAAAGGGAATAATCCAACAGGAAGATACAACAATTGTAAATATTTATGCACCCAACATGGGAGCACCCAAATACACAGAGCAGCTAGTAACAAACATAAAGGAAGTAGTTGATAGTAGTACAATAGCAGTAGGGGACTACAGCACCTCACTTACATTGATGGATACATTATCCAAACAGAAAATCATCAAGGAAACAGTGACTTTGGATGACACATTGGGCCAGATGGATTTAACAGATACATTCAGAACATTCCATCCTAAAACAGCAGCATATACATTCTTTCAAGTGCGCATGGCACATTCTCCAGAATAGATCACATATTAGGCCACAAAACAAGCCTCAACAAATTCAAAAAGATCGAAGTCATACCATGCATCTTTTCTGACCACAATGCTATGAAACTAGTAATCAACCACAAGAAAAAAATCTGGAAAGACCACATTAAGTAATGTGCTACTAAACAATCAATGGGTCAACAAAGAAATCAAAGAGGAAATAAAAAAATACATGGAGACAAATGAAAACACAACAATCCAAAATCTTTGGGATGCAGCAAAAGCTGTTCTAAAAGGGAAATTTATAGCAATACAGGCCTACCTCAGGAAGAAAGAAAAATCTCAAATAATCAACTTTCACCTAATGGATCTAGAAAAAGAACAACAAAACCCAGAGCTAGCAGAAGGAAGTAATAATGACTAGAGCAGAAATAAATGATATAGATAACTAGAAAAAACAATAGATCAGTGAACCAGGAGTTGGTTTTTTGAAAAGATCAAGAAAATTGATAAACCTTTAGTTACATTCATCCCCCCCCCCAAAAGAGCTAAAATAAAATCAGAAATGAAAGAGGAGATATAATAGCCAATACCACAGAAATACAAAGGTTTATAAGAGAATGTGTGTAACAAATCATATACCAACAAATTAGATAACCTCTAGAAGAAATAGATAAATTCCTAGAAACATATAACCTCCCAAAACAGAAGCAGGGAGAAATAGAAAATTTGAACATGCCAATTACCAGCAAT